GAATATATGAATGACTAAGTGTAGGTGAGGAAATTTACCTACCCAAGTAGAGGAAGTATGAGGGACGATCGTGTTAACAATGGGTAAAGTAAGTATTACGGGTTAGGTAGGACGAATGGAATAGACCGGTCGAGGTATAATGTTGAATAAGGGGATGCACTCGTTTTCTTTTGCCAGGGAACTTAAAAAGAAAAGGCTGTCAAGATGCCTGAGACTGGCGGCGCATCAGTTGTTCCCAAGAAGGGTCTGACACTCGATGACCTCATTGCGGCCATCGACCGACATGAAAGGAACCCGAGCAACATCCCAAAGGTTGATACTTTCCATTTCTATGGGGAGAGAGTCTCACAATAGCTAGAGCGGGTGGAACAAGCTTTGGTCGGGCGGCCGGATGTTGTAAAGTTTTAACGCATCCTTAAGTATGTCCTCCACAGCTACCATCAGGAGGTGAAGAAAATCATAGATGCGGCTCAAGGTAGCTGGGAGAGGTTCAAGGAGGGGATGCAGAGGAAATACCGCCTGGGAGACGGGTTGTTGACTACCACGGACCTTGAAGCGATGAACAAAGAGGATTTTACGACTATAGGGGCCTTTGTTCAAGAATTTAAGAAGAGGGCGCGGAAGGTCCATGGGATTTCGGAGGAAGCACAGTGCGCCATCTTCCTGGGGCTACTCACAGCATCGGAGGCCGTCGAATTGACGAGACATGGGGAGGTAGCACTAAGCTCACCTGGGCCACCATTGACAGAGGGGTGGAAGTTGGGTGCTTGGACCAGGTGGAACAACATCAGGTACACCTGCAAAGACAGAAGAGAAAGGAAAGAGATGCGACCGCTTCTGGGACCCCGGGAGTAACAAGGATTGTTACGGACGTATTGGCACAGTTAGGGTATGCGACAGAGCCAGTGGTGCAAAGAAGGGTGGTGACGGCTGTCAAAGTAAAACGAAAAGAGCCAGTGATAGAGGAGGCTGGCCAGGAGGAGCTTTGGGAAGAGGAAGAGCCGGTGCCGCAACACCTGACGAAGGTCCAGCGCTAAGTGTGTAATTTGGCGCAGGGCGGACAGGGATCAGGAAAAGCGCAGGCGCCTCAAACCCAGGCAGCAGCCCCTTTAAATGTGGCGGCTCCATCATTTAGTACGGGCCCCTCGCAAGGCGGGGCGCCCTCCTATGGACAGTGGCCCTGGCCGGTAATCAACGCAATTGTGCCATGGGGAAGTACGCCGCCAGTAGCCGGACCGCAAACGAGTATGCCACCACCCATCTACCCCGCGGCCCAGGCCCAACCTGTGGCCCCGCCACCGTCACCTGGTCCCAGTTCACAGGGCAGTGTTGTAGGGGATGGGAACCAGGGGCAGGGCAATCAAGGCAATGGAGGGAGGGGTGGAGGAAAGGGGCAAGGCAGCAATGACGGCGGAAGAGGAAGGCAATGGAATGGCCAAGGCCAGGGGTACCAAGGCTAAGGGAGTCAAGGCCAGGGGTACCAAGGCCAAGGGAGTCAAGGCCAGGGGTACCAAGGCCAAGGGAGTCAGGGCCAGGGGTACCAAGGCCAGGGCTATCAAGGCAAGGGGTATCAAGGCCAGAGGGATCAGGGAAGTCAGGGGTATGGAAGACCCCGCTTTGATTGGAGGACGACCATCTGTCAACATTGTGACCAGCAAGGCCACACTATAAGGTTTTGTAATATAAGACGGGAAGACGAGAGAAGCGGGATGATTTTCTCTACAATGGATGGGGATATCTACGATCAATTTGGGGAGGCCATTGACAGAAGGCTTGGAGAAGTGAGAGTTGAAGCCCAACGAAGAGCAGCAGCGGGACCACTGCCTCCTGCCATGTTCAGGCTATGGCAGGAAAAGGAGGAACCACCGTTTGGGGTGGAAGAAGAGGGAAGTGATGAGGAAGTGACTCAAGGGCTACGAGGAGGAAGTGAGACAGAAGAGGCCATAATCATCGAGTCAGATGACGAGGAGGAGGAAAGAACGGAGCCTCCATCCGTCTTATTTGAGAAGATGAAGAACTTGCTGGATAAGATGGGGGGGTACCAACAGAAGTTGGTGGACCTCTGTAAAGAAGTGAAAGGATGGAGGTCTAACATCCCCACAGTATTCCTCTATGACTCCGGCCCGGAGTCAGCGCTTGGGCGACCCGGAGTAAATGTGGTGGGGTCGTGCCCTCAACCAGGAATGAGGGGGAGACCCCTCACTCCGCAAGCCCGGCTGGCACAGGCAGCGCGAACGAGGAATCAAGCCAAGGCCAGTACCAACCAAGAGCCTCCAAGGAGGGAGCACGAACCAGGGAGAAGGAAAGAGGCCGTGGAAGTAGAGGACGACGATGACGAAGAGGAAGAGGACGAGAGGCTGCGCAGAGAAGAGGATCAGAGAACGGAGCAGCGGGCAAGGAAAAAAGGGATCTGGGGAGAGGCCGAACCGGTCATACAGGACGGACCGCCCCAAAAGAAGAAATACGTGGTCCGGTTGGAAGAAGGATTTGACGTAGAGAAGGTGATTGACCGGCTGCTGGAAGGGCATAATGACCTCATGACCCTGAAGGAAATCCTAGCGTCAGCCCCGCAACTCCGCGATGAACTGAAAGGGAGGTTATCACGGCGCCTGGTGCCCAATGTCCATCTGGGTACGATCCTGCCCAAGGAGGCAGAGTGGGCAGAGTCAGGTACGAAGATGGACTGAAAGTGCGTAGCCTGCGGTACGGTGGATTTGATGGTAAAGGGTTCCAAGTGCGCAGCAATGGTGGACACTGGGGCAGAGATGAACATTATTCGGGAGGCGGACGCGATCAGATTCGGGCTGGATATARACYGTTCTGACTGCGGTATTCTGCATGGAGCCAACTGTAAGGCCATGTTTTGCGGGACAGCCTCGAATGTGCTCGTCGAGGTTGGAAAGGTGAAGGCCAGGGCATGCTTCTTCATAATGCCAGACGTGGACCATGAAATTCTCCTGGGGAGGTCATTCCTAAGCAGGACATAGACCGTGATGTTCAACAAACATGATGGGACGTTGATCCTCCTCTTATGCGATCCTGCCTGCGGGAATTATGAAATAATTACTTGCAGGAACACCGGGCCAAGGAGTATAAGGAACCGGCCCAATCCAGGATCATTCACAATCGAGGAGTCGGAAGGGGAGCGCAGRAGGCTCTGGGCAGAGCCCGAAGYAGGAGAGAGGGTGGAAGCATTTTCCCTCAGCCTGTCAGATGTTGGGAAGGCCATGGACCTGGTGGCCGYGCATGAGATGGCAGATCCGGATGCCATCCAGGCCTTGAGGGAACAAGTTCTGGAATGCCCTGAGGCAGGAAGGTTGGAATTGGTATATCGGCTCCCCGGCAGTGGAGGGAACCCCGCATCAGCGCAAACACAATCTGTGAGCCGGCCTTTTTTAGGGGACGGCTCAAGCAGGGTTCCCAAAGGCGGTACAAGACGGTAGATAAGAAATGCCGCCCGGTACCCGTCCTCGTTACAGAGGACGAGGAAGCATATTACGAGAGGGAACGAGGGTTGATTCGACAAATGAGGGAAAGTGTTTTAGCAGGGCCATGTCGTATCAATGAAGGGAACGAGAAGAAGTTAATCATAGGGGAGTCTGATTTCCTGCTGCCTCAGGAGCGAACGCTGATGGTGGAATTAATGAAGAGGAAGCATCGCGCCTACACATTTAGTGACGAGGAGCGTGGCAGGCTGGATGTAGATAAGATACCTATGATCCGCATCCACACCGTGCCACACGAGCCTTGGAACATGAGAGGGGCGCGGTATCCCAATCCTGACGAGGAGAGGAAGGTGGTGGATTATCTCGACGGCAAGATACGTACTCACGTCGCCGACCATTCAAGTGGACCGTATGCGTCCCCGTGGTTCTGCTTTATTAAGCCTAACGGAACGCTGCGGTGGGTGCAGGATTTGCAGAGATTGAATGCAGTGACCGTGCGAGATGCTGGAGGACTGCCGAATGAAGACGCGCTATCAGAATCCTGTGCTGGAAGGCCTATAATTTCGCTTATAGACCTTTACTCAGGATACGATCAGTTCCCAGTCTACCCGCCGGATAGGCCGGTGACAGCTATGCACACACCGCGAGGATTAGTCCACATGAACGTGGCCCCACAAGGGTAGACCAACGAAGTAGCAATGGTCCAACGGGCCATGATTCGGGCCATGCAGTCAGTCAGCCCCCATATCATGCAGCCATACATTGACGATTTGGCAGTGAAAGGGCCGGCGATGAAAGAGAGCGACGAAGTCTCACCAGGGGTAAGGCGCTTTGTCTGGAAACACATCCAGGACCTCGAAAAGGTCATGAACCTGCTCGAAGAGCATAACCTCACGGCAAGCGGGGCCAAATCCAGACATTGCACGAGGGAAGCGACTATCTTGGGGATCGTCTGCAATGAGAAGGGCCGAAGGCCGGATGTGAAGAAGACGGACAAGATTACTGAGTGGCCAGTTCCGTTCCACTCAATAACTGATGTCAGGAGCTTCCTTGGTACGTGTGGATTTTGGAGGGCCTTCGTCAAGAACTTTGCCACTAAGACTGAACACCTGAGGAAGTTAGTCCGTCAGGATCAGGAATGAGTATGGGGTGAGGAACAAGAAAAGGTGGTAGCAAAAATGAAGGAGGAATTTCGAGAAGGAGGGTTGGTGTTAGGAGCGCCAGATTATGACGCCACAGAGGCGCGACCCTTCATTGTCGAGACGGATGCGGGACTGACTGCCTTAAGGGGAGTTCTAATTCAGACAGACATGGAAATGAAGGAAAGACCCTTGCGATTTGAGAGCCGGACTCTCTGTACGACGGAGAGGAACTACTCTAAGTTCAAGAGGGAGACCCTTGCTGTCCTCCATTATCTGCGAATCTTCCGGAATTATATCTTCGGCATGAGGTTTATTTTGAGAGTGGATCCGACCGCCCTGGCCTACTCTCTAAGGAATTACGTTCCATCGGATCCGACAATTGCCAGATGGCTGACGTACATCTGGATGTTCAATTTCGAATTGGAACGGATTCCTGGTAGTAAGAACCGGGTGGACGGGCTGATTCGGATCAACTGGGATAAGCAGGAAGGGGAGGCGGTGGAGAATACGCCCCCAGTTGATGGATTTCTGGATCAGGAAGAAGATGTTTGTCTTCATATCAACAAATGGTCGCCGCGAGTGCCTAGCTGTGTAGGCTATCCTATCTGGCAAGCGCCGAAGGGGTATGAAAGGAGGAATGAGTTAGTCCTTAAGCCCTTTGAAGAAGAGGATCCTTGGGGCGGTAAGGATGTTCAGTGGATGATGGAATTAGCGCTGGCCAGCTCGCATAGCCTGGTGGAGGATATGAGGACGATTGAGGAAGGACGTGGCCAGGTAGAACGGCATGAGGACCTGATGGAAGGAATGTATCTCCTTGTCAATACGTTATTGCAGGAAAGCCTAGACCAGTCAGGCTCGTTGAACCCGACAGGGAATGTGGACGAAATACCCGAGAGCCAGGACGACGAATTCGAAGAAGGGGAAATTAAGGAGGCTTTTCGTGCAGAGGAGTACGACGGGATCTACCTAGAGCTTGGGCTTCTTCTGTCATGTGAAATGCGGCTAAGAGATGCGAGCGATAGGGCTCAAAGGATGCTGCAACGCTACTTAGTGCGAGACGGTCACCTTTTCGTAAGAAGGGAAGTGGGGAATCCCAGGAGGGTCGTCTGCGGTAGGAATCGTCAGATCGACGTTGTAGCAGCACTACACGATGGCATTGCAGGAGGGCATCGAGGGGTACAAGCCACGTATGCCAAGATAAGTGAGTTGTACTACTGGGATGGAATGATGGACATGGTCGGAAAATTCTGTCGATCTTGCGTACCCTGCCAGGAGAGATCCCGTTTAAGGCAGGGAGAGCCGCTGCATCCAAGGTTAGAGCGAGAGGTAGGGGCCGTTGTGCATCTCGATCTGCTTTTTATGCCACTTGGGGATCAGGGCTATAACTATATCCTCGATGCGCGCGATAACCTGTCTGGGTTCGTAGACGGGCGAGCTATTCGCACAAAGACCGGGTCAGTCCTGGTGAGCTGCATCGAGGAGTACTACCTGCGTTATCCTTTCGTCAGGGAATTCGTAATGGACAGRGGATCAGAGTTTACCTGCCAGGAGGTGCAAGAACTGTTAGCAAGATATGGTGTGGCAGCCAACTACACCACGACCGCGCACCCCCAGGCAAATGCTCCCGTAGAGAGAGGACATAGTACCATTACGAACCTCCTGGCCAAATGGATCGAAGGTAGGCCTAATCAATGGCCAAGATACCTAAGGGCGGCTTTCTTTGTCGAGAACATTACAGTAAAGAGATCCACCAAGTACGCACCTGCGACGCTGTGGTACGGAAGGCATGCCACCTTCCCTATCGAAAACTTTCTTAAGACATGGAGGCGCCAGGATCTGGAAGTCAACCTGTCATTTGAAGAGTTGCTCGATATTCGGGCGCGGTAGGTTGGGGAGATGGAAGAAAGGATTCAGGAGGCATCTGATCAGGTGGCGAGAAGCCGTATGGATGATAAGGCGCGATGAGATCAGTCTGCGCGAGTGAGGAAAGTACCCTTGGCAGTCGGGGATGTCGTGCTTCTCTATGATACGTTACTGGAAAAGCAGTGGTCCAGGAAGCTCGATAAGAGATGGTAAGGTCCCTACCGAATTGCACGGGTCGAAGACCTCGGAGCGTACCAGATCGAGGAGTTAAATGGGACTGAGTGGAAGGATTGGGTATCTGGAACGCGATTGAAGAAATTCGTGGCGAGAGAAGAGGTAGGAGAGATAACCTGACCGACCTTAGAATAAGAAGTAACAGGGTGTGTAGGTTAGGAAGGATGCATGCTGCATAAGTGTGGTCTGGTCTGAGCTTGCTCTGATTATCACCTGCTTGCTTACCCCAACGTGTGTCTGTTGTCTCCTTCGCCTGTTGTGCAGGTCTGACTTTACGAAGACAGCCATGCCAAGAGGAGGGAAGGGGACACGGCCGCCTCGCCGTTGGGCGCATCATGAGGATATGAGCGACATGGGTCTCGCCAACGAGAGAGTACTCCAGTCTACAATGATGGGGACATCGAGCTATTCCTGGACAATTTCTGGGAGCATGCGAGGCGTATGGGCTGGACCGTCACTCAGGCGATTGAGAGATTGAGGGGAGTAGGTAGGTTCAAAGAGCCCATTGCCAGGATTCGTAGGGAGGCGACGACGAGGCAGGAGGTGGAGATAAGGATGGAGGAGTTGCGACCCTCGCCTGTGGGACCTGATGGCAGGCCGATCCGCCTGGAGATTGGAAATGCGTCGGACTTCATCCCCGCGTTTGAGTGGTTCATGCAAGAGCAGGGCATACAGAGAGATGATTGGATGCAGACGCTACCACTCTGGACCAGGAAGGCGGAAAGGCCACTGGCTGTGCAGATCAGGAACATGGCACGAGATTGGGAAAGCTGCAGGGCACATTTGAGAGAGRCCTTTCGACGGCCAGAGCTCCCTCAGCCCAGAGTCGAGAGGCGGCAGAGGAGTCGGAGGCCGAGGGACCCTGAGCCCAGGGAGGCGAGACCATCTCGAGGAGGACGGAAGACCCTCGCCAGGAGAGAGCAGGAGCCAGAGGGTGAGGAGCGAGGGGCATACCCTGAGTGTGGGTTGGGGCCAGTGGAGTTCCATCGTTTTACTGAGGGTGGATTGAGGAGGTCGCCAACACACACACAGGGGAAGCCACCAGCGTCAGAGGGGCCCTTAAGGGAATTGGAGATGCATTTAGATATCTCTCGGTGGAGGGCGTCGCTTCAGGGTGAGGAGCATGGAGAGCAGGCAGAGAAGGTGTCACGAGAGGAGGTGCCACGAGAGGAGGTGCCACAGGGGGAGATACCACGAGAAGAGATGCCACGGGAGGAGGTGCCACAGGAAGAGGTCAAGGGTACTCAGCGAGAGAGAGGGCTGGACGATGAGGGGAGACGTGCAGGGAAGGAAGTGATAGAGGTTGGAGAAGACACGCCCCCACAGACGCCAGCAGTGGGTTTGAGACTCGAGGGTGCACCAGGGAGCACCCGGCACGCAAAGGAGGGGTTGCAGAGAGAGGAGACCCCTTTACCTTCGTCAGAAAAGGCTCCTTCGCCAGAAGAGAGGGCAAAAAGGAGGAGAGAGAGGGCAGTTATAAGGAGAGAAGCTTTGATCCTGATTGATAGGCACCTAGCAGCTCATGCCCTGGAGCACCCAGACCTGGAGGAGCCAGCACCGGCAGAGCCACGCCAGGAGTCATGCCAGCCCGAGAAGGAGATGGAAGCAGAAATCCCGAAGAGGGTCGACCTCCGCACGAGGGAAAGGGTGCCAGCTGGAGAGACGACCGAAGAAAAGAGGGCAAGACGAACCAGGCGGATAGATGAGATATGGCATGAGAGAGAGGTTGGAGGCAGCTGGGGAGCTCCCGGAGCAGCAGCAGGAGAGGCAGAGATCGGAGGCAGCAGGAGCACTCCCGGGTCAGCCGCCCAGCGCGCCAGCCAAGGCCCCGGAAATTCCTGAAATGTGGAGAGACTTCTGGGAGCAGAGAGGAGAGGAGCTTCCATCGCCAGTGAGAGCCGGGTTTGGGGTGGCCTGGAAGGCGGAAGAAAGGTTAGATTGTAAAATCAAGTTCCTGGCCAAGACCACTTTTGACCGGCACTTGTTATTGGAGGGCGATCTGGCGGGGAAGAAAATGAAGGAAGCCAGCCATGGAGTACGTCTGGAGGTTATGGAGGTGGAAATTCAGGAACTTAGGGCTTTGGTGGCCATCCAGGCAGCTATCACTGAGAGCCTGAGGCAGCAAACCCAGGGAAAGGTGGACAGACCAGAGAGCAGCCGGCAGGGAGAGCAGAGGCAGCCAGGACAGGGATTGTCAGGACAACCATCTGCGACAGAACCTCGCCAGGAGCCGCCTATGGGGAGAGTTATCCTGGAGCCAGAGGAGGCGAGAACCCAGAGATAGGCGGAGAGAGAGGCATTCGAGTTTAGAGCCCCTACTGAGCTCGCGACGCTGCCGGTGGCGGCGGCAGGCCCAGTCGTACCTTTGGCAGTAGAGGAGGGNAGCCCCTACTGAGCTCGCGACGCTGCCGGTGGCGGCGGCAGGCCCAGTCGTACCTTTGGCAGTAGAGGAGGGGCTGCCACCATCTAGCAGTGAGCTGGCTCAGGGCTCGGCAGAGGGATCCATGGGCGTGCTCCTTGAGGCGGTGCATACTATGCAAGAGGAGGTGAGTTTGTTTTCACCTGAGCAGAGGATAGAGGAGCCTCTTGAGAGAAAGATGGGGATTGAGGAGGAGGGTGCCATCGAGGGCAGACTCCAGAGGATAGGCACACCTGAGTATGGACCAGAGGAGATTGAGGAGCAGCCCACGGCAGTGCCAGGGGCGGCACTCGAGAGGAGGCCTCAGAGGTTGGACACGCCCGAGTATGTTCCAGCGACAGAGGATTTGAGAGGCAGACTAGAATTTTGGGCTACTGGATCTGGGTCTGGTTGACCAGTTCCGGGGACAGAGCGACAGGAAGTCGTTGGTACTGCAGCTCCTCAAGCAGAGCAGCATGGGGTTATCAGTACCTTGACAAGATCTCCTTCATCACCACCTCCTCAGCTCAGGAAGAAGAAGTTCAAGAGAAAGGTAGATCAACTATGTTTTTACTGCAAAAGGGACGTGCATCTGGCTTTGGACTGTCTCGAGTTTCTTGAGGATAAGGCAGCAGGGAAGATCTCAGAGGTAGGGGGTAAAATGTATGATAGACAGGGTAGGATAGTAGAGAAGTCCGCAGATGGACTTAGGGCTCAGTTATATAGGCAAAACCAGGAGAAGTTGAGGAGGTAGGGCTCGGTTTTGTCTATATAAGTGAGCGAACATTTTGTGAGGTATCAACTTAGGTTTTGTGTGATACCCTTTTTTGACTTAGAAGACATTTTGATGATTGCTGTTAATCTAGATCTGAACTCTAGTGTTTCTACTGAGTTGGGGTTTTGAGGGTCAGGGTGGTTTAAATGAGGCATGTACATATTTAGGTGGCCTACGCCCTGGCCTTTGAGAGACAGATCTGACATGTATTTTAGGGGTAGTTGTCAGTGTGGGTTTGGTGTGGTTTGAGTTGAGCAAGCTATGATTTGGAGACACTTTCCGTGTGAGACATTGTACTCCCTGAGTGTATATTATGATGAGGTTTCCTTCAGGGACCATTCTTATATGTGACGATCACTTGTCTCTCTCACATGTGTGGTTGTACTATGATGTATGATGAGTTTGTGTGGACAATGTGTGAAAAATATTTTATGTACCTTGGGTATTATGAATCTGATTGTAAGTAAAACTGTGTACTCCTCGGTACATTTGTGCGACCTGTCCACGACAGCTGATAAGGCAGAGTATAAGGGGAGGAAGCGCAGTCCGTCTGTGAAAGTTATCTAAGTTGTGATGAGGACCCATAAGATGGTCTCTCAGTGATGTTCTGTTTTATGATGGGACCCCCTTAGATTTTGGAAAAGGGAGGGGATGTTTTGTGATGTAACGAAACCCCTCGTGACCTTGAGAGAGGGGGTGTTTGATTTATGATGAGACCCTCGTGATTTCTGGAAGAGGGAATGTATTGTTTTATGGCGAGACCCCTCGCGATTTTTGGAAGAGGGGGTGTTTTGGTTATGAAGAGAGCCCCTTTTGGATTGTTGGAAAAGGGGAGTGGTTTTTGGTTGAAAGACTCATCCTCAGAAGTGAGTAAATTGATTTATGGCATGATGAGTTGTTCGATGGGTGATAAAGTCTGACGGAAAGGGGTCACTTTTTGTTTGAAATGTTTAAGAAAGTCGCAATGAGTACAGGGCGAGAGATGTCTCAGGGTGGGTGACTGCTGGCTCTGATCAAGTCAGGGGTCACGGCCTGGTGGATTTAGCGGTGATTTTGCTTGTAAGTGTGCGAAGGAGGCCATGCCTATTGAAGGAGGGCTGGTAAATGCATTCGGACCCCTGCGTATCGCGCAGTGGGCCTGTGATTTTGTTTTGCGACGCACCCGTTTAACAACTGGTGCTAATTCTGAGACATATTGAAGAAAGGCCAAGCTAACGGAAAAGAAGTTAGTACCTCTAGGGTGTAACCCCATTGGATGGATGCTAACCGGCGCAACCTGGTTGCGGGACCACGGGCTAAGAGTTTAAGGGGAGTTACCCGCCCCAGGGAAATTACTCCGTGGGATAGTGAAGGTTGAGATTTTGGGAGATCCTGATTAAGTGCCTATCAGGAGAAACCCTATCGTTGCGTAACCAACGAGGGTACTGCTGTTAAATAACAATGCGGTGGGCCGTAGTCCTGGTTCGATCAACCAGGCTATGGTGGGCCAAGATGGAGACCGGGCCTTTCTGTACTAGACTGCAGAAAGAGCGGAGTGGATATTAAGTTTACATATATTTTTGACTGCGAGAGATTTTGAGAAAGAAGGCGAGAGTGCTTTCAAAGGTCTCGGTTAAGGCCCGCGTCCCTAGTTTTTGCCAGGACTAGGGACACCCAACGAGAAACCGAAGGTTGTCTAGGACCTGGGAGAGGACGATTGGGAAGGTCTTTGGAACTTATGCTGCCAGTGTCCTAATTTCTGGACGGTGTGAGGCCCAGGTTAGAAACCTGGCATCATATAGTTGTGGAGGCATGGTTTGATGGAGGCCTCTACCCTGTGTTTATCGGCTGATCGGATTGACTTACTTTTTTCGTCAGCATTTGGAGTGTGAATGAATTTATAGCTTTCAGATTTGGGGAAGCGACGGGGACCTCGCTTAATATGGTCCGGTAAGACTGTCGGTGCGAATACCCTTACAAGGGTATCCGCCCTGGTTTTTGCAAGTAACAGAAAATTGTTTGGTTTAAAGTTTAAGTATACCGCGCTAAGCACGGTTGTGTTTGTAATTGCGTCGACTGGGTGGTTGACCACAATAGCGAGTGCGTGGGCGCGCAGGTTTAAGGCGCGCGTGATTTCTTTTCTGTTGTTGATCGTAAAGCCGGCCCGGACCTCGGTCGTTTTGCTTAGTGATATTATTATTATTTTTTTTTTTTATTAAGCAGGAATTAAGGATATTTTCATTTGATTGGTACATTTGACCGAGTCAAGCGCGCGTGCAGAGAACGACCCCTACGACGGCATCGGCAATAACGGCGCGATTTCGTGCGGTAAGCGGGATGTCGTAGCATCCGCTGAGAAGAGGTTGGAGTGTGAGTATGCCCCTTGGGAACCATTAGAGGAAAACTATGCCAGGGCGGAGTAGGCCGGAACACTATAGTGGGAGCGGTACAGACGTGCAAATTGTCCGTCGGAGTTTGGGTATAGGGGCGAAGACAACTCGAACCGTTTAGTAGTTGAATCCCTTCGAAGTGTTCCTCAATCGCTCGTCGGACTTGGGTATGGGGGCGAAAGACTAATTGAACGGGCTGGTAGCCTGATCCTCCCGAAGTTCTCCCTCGGGTTGGCCAGGTAGTGCTGCAGCGAGCGAAGCAGAGGCAACGGCAGTGGCGTTACGGGCGGTGAACCGACGGGCGGCGTGGGTCCGACTGGGCAGTGCCAACAGCAGCGGGGGACAGCACAGCGGGCCGACAGACAGATAGCCCAGGGTACAGCAGCGGGTGAACCCGGACGAGGGTGGCGCCGGGTACATGCGGGAAGAAGAGATCATGAGGGGAGGGATGACAGGTGCATTCGGGGCAATGAGCGAAGTGACGGAGATGACGTGCGGAGCACAGTGAGGGAGGGACGGACGCTGAAGGGTAGCGGGCGTGACCAGCAGCGAGCGCAGTAGGGAGCGAGCGCTCGGCTCGGGC